GTCGACGTGCTGTGTTGGCAGGTCGCCTTTCTGCAGTGCTGGCGCGGCTCCTCTACGCAACGCTGGCAGACGGTCGACCATGCTGTGCTGTTTGTCGACCAGGCTAGCTGCAGAGTTGCTAGGTGCCTGATGTAGTCATTGATTGTTCAACGATTGTGTAATTCCAACTTTGCTAGTGGAAACTCTTGCCAATTTCTCCCGTGATTGTGCAAGCACTAAGGAACTAGGCAAAGCTATGATCACTCCTAGTAGTTCGTGCCAACCCCGTAGTCTAGCTCACTACCGTTGTAGAGTGAATCTCCGCAAACCCAATGCGCGTTCCAGGAACCATCCTATTCTGGCAGTCTGCCGCACCACTGATGCGCGCATGGTTCACCGTCTTGAGGTTGCACCATGCGTGTATCAGCTGATGCGGGGCAGCCCTGTCAAGCCCGCCAAAAAACATTAAGCGCAATTTTTAGCACACACCTGCCCGCTCTCAGAAATCTAACTCCCTTCAATGCCAACATTCCTGCCTTAGGTGCGAGTTTCCCCTCCTTGAATATTTTTGTCCCTAACCAGCAAGTGTCAGGGCAGTCATGACAGTGCGAAGGTGTAGTGAATGCAATATATGCCTTCCGCGAGCTCGCGACATTCCGACAAAACCCAAACCTGACGGTCTCGTATGTGAGCACCACTCCCGAACCTGAGCTGGTCCCCGAGCCTCAATGCTGATGCGCCAGCCGAGCAGGGCCTAGGTGACAAAACAATTGATCGCCATCGCATAGTCAGAATGCAATGTGGAATTACAGGGTAACTCCAATTGCAATCCTGAGCCTGTCACCTGGGCTCGGAACCGATAGGGCGATCGAAAATCAGCTGTCACCACCTACCGATCTTGCCCTGATCCTGCGATCAGTGTGCCCGATCGGTTTTTTATGGCGATCTTCGAGGGAGAGGACGCGCCTCCCGCCATCCGAAAACTGACTGCAAAATTTTGTCCGGACATTGCCGTGACGCGGGCTTGTGTCGTGCCACGTTGACTGCAGCACACGCTTGAGGTGCCCGAACCCTGACGTGGCCACGTCTACGAGGCAATTGGCTGATGGTCAAGGCGGGCATCGTTTTGCATTGCATGTCGCGGCCAATGCCATAACCCAACGAAGCACGGCGGCTCATTCGCCACAACACATCATGCACCCCAACGAAGCTCGTCAAAGCTGCAATCAGCTGGCAGCTGATTCGCGAGTCGCGCGACACCTGCCCCCCACACCACACCCAACCCAACCCAAGTTCCTTCCCCCCAACCTCCCTTCCTCACGCACCCCTTCCTCAGCTTCCTGCTCTTGTTCCTTCTCGTAGACCTGTCCCATTTGATTTCCGACAAATGCATAACAATCACATCACCTCTCAACATACTCGTCACCAACGCCTCCCCCACTGCCTCCCACCCAACCAGACAGCGGGAACGCCACTTCGCGTCGCCCACCACGCTTCCCTCCCGCCGCCACTGAGCTTTTTGTACTGAGGAACCACGTTGAGCCGTATCCAACTTTTGAGCACTCTGTCACATTTGCCTTCATCTGTCGAGTCGCGTCGCCCCTCAATTTCTCGTCGCCTACTATCGTCGCCTTCAGTCGCGTTTGATCGTCTCGACTCGCCGCATCCATGGCCCGCCCTCTCTCGCTTTCCCTGCTCGCTATCAGCTGCGTGCTCCTCCTCGCGTCGCAGGCCGTCGCCACGCGCGTCGCACCGTCGTCGCAGAGCCCTCGTGCGCCGTCATTCGCGACCAACGTTCGCCGGCAGCTCTTCAGCCGCTTCAGCTGCGGAATGTCGAACCTCAAGGGATACACGTCGAAGATTGGTCTGACATCCGGGTAAGAGCAGATGGCTGATGGCGGCCTCAGTAATGGACAGCGCGGGTTTTGAGTCGATTCACAACTCAAACCCCAAGGGATACACGTCGAAGGCTGGTTCGACATCCGGGTAAGGGGGGTCGATTCTAGGCGGACGAGCAGACTGCCGCAGCCAGGAGCGGACAGCGCAGCCGTTGCACCCGCTCCGTTGTTTTTCGTCCTTCCTGGTTTCCCTGATTTCCCTGGTTTTGCCTTCTACCCCGCCGAAAAAAATCGCCACGCAATCCCCACCCACTTCCCCGCATTCCCCACCCACTTCCCCGCATTCCCCACCCACTTCCCCGCATTCCCAACCCACTTCCCCGCATTACCCACCCACTTCCCCGCATTCCCCACCCACTTCCCCCCATTCCCTCTGATTTCCCTGGTTTTGCCTGCTCCCCGCTGCACCATCCGCCTCGCATTCCCCATCCACTTCCCCGCATCCCCCCATTTGTTTCTCTCGTGGTCTACAGCCTCTGCCAGTAAGACCAGCAGAATGGCGGCCGTCACATATGCAGGCAGGGAGGCGGAGATGTTCGCTGTGCTATCCCCCGCGCTTCACTCCGCATTCCACCCGTTTCCGCCGCCCAGAATCCTTGCTGATTCCCCCATCCCCGCGCATTCCCCGCTCCCCGCGCATGGCGCTTCCCCACGCCAGGCTGGTGCTGCACTGGAAGGCCACCAAGGGGCAGACAATCAACATGGCCGTGGTGGCATCGGGAGCCAAGGCCGGTGGATGGTTCGCCGTGGGATTCTCACCCAATGGCGGCATGTCGGGCAGCAACGCCATCGCCACTGACTCCTCAGGCAGCCCGGTGACGAAAGATCTCGTCGGACAGTCGTCGGCGGACGATGCGTCGTGGACCGTCGGATCAGGCTCGATCACCCAATCGGGCAGCAAGGTCATCATGAAGTGAGCCAAGTGGGGCGTGTCTTTGAGAACGTTATTGAACACGTGAATGATATACTCTTGTAGTTTTCTCGACCTACAGCTTCCTTGCAGCTGCTTTTAGCTACCTCCCACCCCTATGCCTCCCCCCCTTCTCTCTTCCCCACTCTCTACATATTTCTGTCTCTCCGTCACCGTCATCCTAACGTGCTACCCGTTTCCACTACTCTTCACACTAGGTTCACCAAGAACAAGGGCGATGGGGCGTCCGTGAAGGTGAAGGCTGACAACGACAACAACATTGTGTGGGCGTTTGGCGATGGCGACACTGTCTCTGTCCACAATGGAGCGTAAGTGCATCTTCTCTAAGCGTGGTGTGGTGGGTGAGAGTGTATGCCAGTATGCATCATGCTGTGACGCTTCATCTTTGGAGTTTTTTTTCTTCCATTCATGAAATGTGGGACTTAATGCTTCTGAAGATTCTGGTTGATATTCATCGAAGAATATGTTGCTTGTGTGCTCTGTGTGGTGCGCAGTGGTAAAGTAAGCGTCAACTTTGCCTGCGGGTGCCCTCTGTTCCAGAGCAAGTGCTAAACAGCTGCAGGAGATAGTGCTAAGCAGCTGCGGGTGATAGTGGAATTCAGCAGGTGGGGAGCTCTGTGCTGGTGGTGAGATTGGGAGACCCTTGCGGTGCGTTAGGGAGCGTTCAGAGCGGATGCATGCTCAAACTGATGAATCATTCGTGGACGTAGTTTGCGTATGGATCCTGTACTTTGGAACGCATCCTTTGTAACAAAATGATTATACACACTTGTTTTGACAAAATCTATAGGATGGGTGCACTTCTGATATTGCCTCTGACTTACTATGCATGGATCGGAGTGTGTATATCCTGTGCAATGTGTCTAGCTTGCATGTGATGAGAGACGACTTATACTCTTGTCTCCATCAATTACGGTAGGCCCTCTGCTCTTGCTTGACTGGGGTGCTTGTGGTGGTGCCTAGTGAGGTTGAAGATCATGATTCGTGGTCCATTATCCCCACGTTAGGAGTCACGGAGTGTACTCTCCAAGTAAATCGTCTTATTATTTTAATCCAAGAGCCCACTATTGGCGCGAAACTGGATGCAGTCACTTGGTGAGGGTGCGACACGAACCAGGGGCTCGTTTCGGTCGCACACGTATTCGTTCGGTCAAGAGTTGGAGTGCGCTCGCGGCTCCACCCACGCTGATTCGTGCGCGGCGGAATTCTTACAAAGTCGTCCACGAATGAAATAGCTTTGTTAATTGTTACTCAGCCTTGCGAGGAAAGCAAACATGGAGCTCTTCGACATCGCGAAACGTTCACACCAATGGTGTCAACGCAGGTCAGGCGTGCGCCAATCCACATGGCACTACAAATCCATCCTTTGCATGTACCCATTTCCCCCATATTCCTCCCCTGCGCCGCCCCCGCTTCCTGCCATTCTCACTCCCTCCCCTGCCTTCCACTCACAAGTGCCCCCTTTCGGGCTCCGCCAAAAAATTCACCCAATCACCCAATAAAACCGGAAAAACCGTGGCTACTTGCTGAGAACCGATCTGCAGGGAAACGCCCCTCCTGGCGTGGAACACCCTTCGCGAACCTTCAAGAGACGTTGTACACGGTACATTTGTGATTTAATGGTTTTTAAATACGTTTATGTACGTTTCAGAGCGGTGATAGTCCGAACCGACGAATGATTCTCAGGGTGTTTCACGCCCACTTCACTTTTTCTTCACTTCTTCTTCAGGGTGAACCAACCAAGCTCGAGGCAGCCAGGCTCAAGTGAGAAGGGACGCAAGCCAAGCTGCCTTGGGATCATCATCACTCCCTACCTCCATGCTCCAGATTCGAACAATCCCTGATTGTAACAGCAGGAGTCAACCTAGAGTGGTAGGTGTGCTGTTGCTGGCGGCTGCACTGCTGGCTCCTCTAGGATCCTCGCCTGCCATAAAGGCCAGCAGGCAGCGGCGATCGCGCGCAGAGCAAGCTTAGCTGGCTGTTAGTTGGAAAAGGGATTTCCACTAATACAACATTATCTTGCGACGCCTTTCTATCGATGGCTTAAATCTGCGATTTCCTTCACTAAGGATCTGTCGAGTGGCATTTCCCGCGAGTTACAGGATCCGTGTGCGTTAACCTAATTTAGTATCTTCTCGTACCGGAAATTAAGCAATTGGCAAGGCCAAGGCTTGAGAGTTAAAAACGCAGCCATGGATGATCTCGCGAGCGTGCTTGCCGCTGCGGGCCTCAAGTCACAAGGCAAGCACACGCCGATGGTGCCGAAGCGACCCCCAGGGGGAGGCATGGGCGGAGGCATGGGGGGAGGGATGGGAGGAGGCATGGGGGGAGGCGGAGCACCCAGCTGGGGTGTCGGCGGCGGAGGAATCGGGGGAGGCCAGATGGGCGGCAGCGGTGTGGGTTCCGGATTGGGGGGAGGCACGGGGGGAGGGATGGGTCGAGGGGTGGCCGGGGGTATGGGTGGGAGTTCGGCGGGAGGTATGGGAAATCTAGGAGGTATGGGGAATTTGGGAGGTATGGGAAACTTGGGGGGTATGGGGAATTTGGGAGGCATGGGAGGAGGAATGGGAGGAGCAGGAGGAGGCATGGGAAATCTAGGAGGTGGGATGAACAAACCGGCTGCCGGTATGGGTGGTGGCATGGGTGGCGGGGGAAGTGGCAGCATGGGTAGCGGCATGAGTGCCGGCATGGGCGGCGCCATGGGTTCCTTTGGAAAAGGCATGGCCAGTGGCGGTAGTAGCGGCGGGAGTCGCGGCGCGGGTACCGGCCTTTCCAACAACGCGTTCGCGGGGCTGGGAGTGGCGGATTTCGGGCTCGGAGGCGGAAGCGGAGCGGGGAGTAAGAGCGGCGCGGGCGCAAGCTCGTCGAGTCGCGGCCAAACCCCCACGAGATCCGGACATTCCGGCAGATCGTCGCCGTCCGTGACCGAGGATCTCTCGTCAGGCTCTACTGGCGGCGGCGGCGGCGGCGGCGGAGGGGTGGCTGCGACGGCTTCGGCGTTTGACGAGCTGATGAGCCAGGGGTTCGAGATGCCGCCTTCGTCGTCGTCCGCGACGTCGTCCGCGAAAGACCGGCGCGATCCGTCGCCGGTGCCTGCTGCTCACGCGGACGACGATCTGCTGGCCGGATTCGGCAGGTACGTTGATTTCTTACGCGCCTCAAGAGCAGGTACACACGGATTCGATCTGCTGGCCGGATTCGGGAGGTACGCGAGGGGGGGGAGGAAACAAGTCTTAGCTCGTGTCACAACTCGGTGCTTGCTGCTCACGCGGAGGAGGATTTGTTGACCAGATTCGGCAGGTACGGTGATTTCTCGCTGTACATGAACAGTTACACGCGGACGGCGATTTCCTGGCTGGATTCGGCAGGTACGTTGCGGGGAGAGGGTAACAGGCGAACTCTGAAAGTGCGCGGACATGAAAAGCCGGAGCGCGGTGTTGCATGATGATGTACAGCGGTGTTTCGCGGCCCGAATCATTCGGTGAACTTTACAAGTCCCAGTTGGTTTGAAGTCCCTTTCGAGAAACCTCAAAAGCGAAATACGTTGGAGTTCTGGGTTACAGACGTCTCAAAACTCTTACCTGGGTGAAGAATACCCAAGTGCGGAATGAGGTGGGCGATCTTGGCCGTCCGTTGTAAACAGTCAATTGTGGCTCCTCGACTGATCCCCAGAACGGCGTAAGTTTGAAATCGCGGTCCCAAGTTTACCTGGAGCAGGAAAGATTGCTTCGTCCTTTCAAGTGTCGAGATTTCAGGGTCGCGACAATGCTAACGATTCGGGACGCGGTGTGCTAGTTGAGGTAGTCAATGCGCACTACTAGAATGTTTCAACTGGTATCATACCGTATCAGATTGTCTCCCACCCCCCGCTTCTCGCGTTGGTCAGCTTTAGGTGCGCGTTCAAATGGAAAGGCACACTCGGATTCGCACACTCAGTTTCTCTGTCCGTCCACTGCGGTAGGCATGCTCATGGGACCGAAATTCCTCCCCTTCTCCTCCTAAGATGTGCGCCGCTAACCAACCTGACTCTCCCCATCCCTCACGATCCTTCCCCAACCCTCCTTGACTCGCCACATCTCCATTTTCCTTCAGCCCACGAGCACCACTGTGGGCCCGTCTCCCTCGTTAGTGGGAGGGTTGTTTCCTGAAGAGAGAGGGAGGGAGGTCCCTCGCCCATGCCCTCGTTACTCGTCGCAACCATCTCTGTCACCGCTTCCCCACATTCCCTTCCCCGCATCCCCTTGTCCCCTTCCCCCCATCCCATTCCCCCCTTCCCTCCATCCCTCCCCCTTTCCCCCCTTCCCCCCTCAGTTCCGCCAAGCCCACGAGCACCGCTGGGGGACTATTCCCCGAAGAGGGAGGGCCCTCGCCCATGCCCTCGCACTCCTCCTCCTCTGCTGCGCCCTCTGCTGCTGCTGACCCGTTTGGAGTCGACCCGTTATTCGGTACAGGTGCCCCTGCCTCTGCTGCTGCTGCTGCTGCTGTTCCCGATCCTTTTGATGCGTTTGCCATGCCTACTGCTGGAAGCGGCTCGGGAGGCTCGGGATTAGGTATGGATGGGGGAGTTCCGACACAGGGCAGCGGTTTGGGAGACCAGGCTTCAGGTCCGGATATCGGTCTGGGTGACTTTGAGACGTTCGTGCAGCAGGTTCCCGTACCTGAGGTTCGGGAAGAGCCTCGGGAGGAGGCTCGGAAGGCGAGGAGGGAGGATAGCGGGGAGGCGAGGGAAAGGGAGAGGGAGAGAGAACAGGCTAAGGAGAGGGAAAGGGAAAGGGAGAAGGAAATGGAGAGGGAACGACTGAGGGAGAGGGAGGAGCGAGAGAGAGCGAGGAGAGGAAGTGACGGGTCAGCAGGAGGAGCAGGAGGAGCGGGAGCGGCAGGAGTGGGTGGAGATCGGTGGATTACGGTTGATGAGGTTATTCTTCGAACCAACCCCAGCAGCACCCCTCCTCCGCCCTCCCGCCCACCTCCTGCCACACCCCACCGCCCCCGCTCCAGTGCACCCTCTTATGCTGCTGCTGGCGGTGGTGGTGCTGGTGGTGGTGGTGGTGATGGTCCCATGCCCAGGAAAATGAGCTTTGAGAATGCTGGGGAGGGAGGGGCAGCAGGGGCAGGTGGGCGCGGGTCAGGCGGGAGGGGAGGGGAGGAAGCAGGAGGGAGACGGCAGCAGTCGGAGCAGAGAGGGGGAGGGGCAGGTGGATTGGACGGGTTTGATGAGTTTGCTGCTGGTGGCAGTGGGAGGGGAGGGGAGGAGGAGGAGGAGAGGGGGGCCCCGCCTAGGAGGCGGAGGGCGGCCAATGGGGAGTTGCCAGGTGGCGGGTATGCACCGCCATCGGATTCGGCGTCAGCAGCGGCGGCTTCATCTGCTGCAATGAAAGATGCTATGGAGAGCGCACAGAGGAAGGCTGATGCTGCCCGGGCGGCCAGAGAGAAGGAGAGGGAGCGGGAGAGGGAGAAGGAGAGGGAGAGGGAGAGGGAGAGGGAGCGGGAGGAGAGGGAGAGGGAAAGGCAGAGGCAGAGGGAGAGCGAGAAGCAGCGGGAGAAGGAGAGGGAGGCGGCGAGGCAGCAGCAGCAGCGAGCGCAAGAAGCAAAGAGCAGAGCCTCTGTGAGTGGGCGCTGGTGCTGAAGCTGGGGCTGGTGTTGCTGGCGTTGGATGGTGTGGTGTGTGGTGTGGTGTGGTGTGAGGGTGGTTGTTAGTTGCTGGGTGGATAGTCGGATGGACCACCTGGTAATGCTCTTAAAGGGCAGCTACCTGATTTCAATCAGTCGTCTGATGGGTACAACACAGCTTTGCCTCTGGATTTTAACATTTCTCTCAATGGGTTTTGTTTTTGTTTTGTTTCGTTTTTTTTCTTCTTCTTTTCTTTTCTTTTTTGTATTGCATTCTTGTATTTTTTATTCCCTCAATTTCATCATGCTGTCTCAGCTCTTCGAACCTCTCTCGCCCACCCTCCTCTCCTCCTCGCCCCACCCACGTGCAGCAACCAGCGCCGCCAAAGCAGCCTTCTTCAGCCGACGATTGGGCCGACATTCTCGGTGTGTTCCTCTCATTCTTGGTCCGTTCCAATCGTCCCGTTCTTCCCTCTTTTGAGACGTCTCAAAAGCCAACAATTGGGCCGGCATTCTGTGTGTTTCTCTCATTCTTGGTTTGTTCCCATCGTCCCGTTCCTTCCTCTTCCGCCCCCTCTCTTCCCCTCCCCATATCCCTCTCCCCCACTTCCCCCTCCCCCCCTCTCTCTTCTCCCTTCCCTCTCTTGCTTTTCCTCTCTTCATGTCCTTCTCTTCCTTTCCCTCTCGTTCCCTCTCTTCTTTTCCGTTTCTCACTCTTCCTTTCCCTCTCATACTTTCCCCCATTTTCACGCTCCCTCCGTCCATCCCCTTCCCTTCCTCTCCTCCTCTCCCTCTGCTTCTCACAGCATCCATCACCACTTCACCATCAAAATCCGCATGTCCCAATCATGTTCCCTTCAATCCCTCATTCTCTCAATCCCATCTGTTCCCTTTCTCTCTCCTTCTCCCTACCTCTGCCCCCACTCCTACTCATCCGTTTTCCCGTCACGCGTTCCCCTTCACATGAGCCAGGCGGGGGAGGGGGAGGAGGCGGCGGAGGTGGGGGGGCAGCAGCAGGCGCGCGGGCAGCGGGAGGCAGTCGGCTGGACGAGTTTCAGGAGGTGGAGGGCGAGAGTGAGGAGCGGCGGCAGCTGCGATACGAACGGTTTCAGCGCCTGCAGGAGAGAGCGGTGAGTGGGGTTGAGGGGCACAGGGAGGGGTGGTTGGGGGGCACAGGGAGGGGTGGTTGGGGGGCACAGGGAGGGGTGGTTGGGGGCCGCAGGGAGGAACGCAGGCAGGGGTACAGGGAGCGGCGTTATGATTGGTGGTCGTGAGAGAGTGGTGCGTGGGGTCGCTTAGAGGGACGGGGCACAAGCATGGACGCAGGATGGCAGGGGTGCAGGGAGGGCAGGGGTGCAGGGAGGGCAGGGGCGCAGGGATAGGAGCTCCTGAGAGGTCTAATCCCTCCTCTGCATCTCCCGGTTCTCCTTTCCCCCCATCTCCCCCTCTCCTTCAACTTCCCACCTCTGCTTTTTGAAGCGCCTAAAAAAAACTCCTGAGAGGGCCCATCTCTCCTTCTCAATACCTCCCAGCTCTCTCTTTCCCCCACCTCCCCCCTTCCATCATCTTCCCACCTCTGCTATCCCCCCCTCCCTCTCTTAATCTCGTCCACCCTCCCGCACATTTTTTTTTTTCCGCCCGCCCTTTCCCCACGGTTTCCGTCTCTCTCATTCATCGCCCCACATGCGCTCTTCCTTGCTCCGCCCAACTTCCTCCTTTCTCCCCGCCCCCACCTAGCGTCCTTTCTTCTCGTTCCACTCCTCCACCTCGTCCGCCCCTTTCTCCTCCTCCCTCCCGTCTCCTTACCGACCCCCCTTCCTCCTGTGCACCCTTTAACCCACCCCACCCCCCCTCTTCCCCCGTCCGCTCTCCCCCCTCCTTCCCCCCCGTCCGCCCTTCCCCCCTCCCTTCCCCCCGTCCGCCCTTCCCCCCTCCCTTCCCCCCGTCCGCCCTCCCCCCTCTCCACCAACTGCACCCCGTGGCAGGCAGCAGCGTTGGATGAGAAGAAGAAGCGAGACATGGACGTTCTCAAGGAGCAGGAGGACCGACACGTGAGTGATGAGGGGTGGAGAGGGGTGGGGAGGGGTGGGGAGTGGTTGTCTGGTTGGAGGAAGGAGTGAGACATGGACGTGCTCAAGGATCAAGAGGATAGACACGTGAGTGATGAGGGGTGGAGAGGGGCTGGGAGGGGTGGGGAGTGGTTGGATGATGTAGTGGAGGGAGTGAGGATGAGACATGGACGTTCTCAAGGAGAAGTAGGACCGACACGTGAGTGCTGAGGGGTGGGGAGGGGTGGTGAGTGGTTGGATGAATTGGATGGTTAAAGGTGGCGGGATTGTGAATGAGACGTGGACCAAGGAGCAGGAGGACTGGGATGTGATTGCTGAGGGGTGGGGAGGGGTGGGGGGGGGGGTGGTGGGAGGTGGGAAAGGGTGGGGAGGGGTGGGGAGGGGTGGTGCTAGAATTCCCTTCCCTTGTGGGCTTTTCCTCCCTTACCCCCGCTTCCTCCACCTCTCCATTCTCCTCCAGAAAGTCGGGGGATATTGGATATTGAGATCAAGCGGTGGTACAAATTCCCCTCCCCCTCTCTCCCCTCATTCCGCCACCCTCTTCCAGAAAGCTGGCGAGATGCTGGAAATTGAGATCAAGTGTGGTAAGGATTCTGCTCCCCCTCCCTCGTCCCCTTTCCCCCTCCCGCCCCATTCCCCCTCCCGCCCCCTTCCCGCTTATCTTTCTTCCAGAAAGTCGGGGAGTTGCTGGATATAGAGATCAAGCAGTGCAACAAATGCCCAACAACATTTTCCTTCCTTTCCCCTGCTTCCTCCCCTCCCCTCTCAACTTTTCTATCCTCAAAATGCGGGGGTAGTTGCGGGACGTTGAGATCAAGCGGCGGCCAAAACTCCGCTACGCTTCCCCCCTCCCTCGCTCCCTTTTCCCCGCATCTCCCTCTTCCAGAAAGCGGGCGAGATGGTGGATATTGAGATCAGACGCAGGTAGAAATCCGTAGAAGGGGGACCATCTCAATACAAGCGCTTCCATTTCCCCTCCCCTCCCTCCTCTTCCCTCCCTCCAGAAAGCGGGGGAGATGTTGGATTTCGAGATCAAGCGGTGGGCGGCGGGCAAGGAGGGCAACCTGCGTGCTCTCCTCTCCACATTGCAGTTTGTGAGTCTCTTGGGTGCTAACGCGTGTGAGATCCCTATTCTATGGTGTATATTTTCTGTGGTTGTGGTGCTGCCCACATGGCAGTTTGTGAGTCGCTTAGGTTATCCTGTGAGCAGCTCACAAACTTTGCTGCTTAGGTTATCCTGTGAGCCCAATCATGTGATCAACACTGCTGGTTCTCGTCCCTCGATTCAATGACCAAGTGTATCACAACATCACACAGGAACAGAATGTTCTGTCAACAGCTCATGTCAAGCTGGTTACTTCGTTGTGCGATGTGATCCACTTACACGTTTAATCGGAATAGTTTGTCTTGTGAGACAAGCTGGTTATTTCTTTGAATATTAACAAAACCATCATAGGTTTGACAACCCCTCTGTCCTTTTGAGTTGACTCAAAAGTCACCTCTGTATATTACCCAGAAATATCGGTGTAGATTACCCAGAAATATCGGTGTAGATTACCCAGAAATTACGGACTCAATCGATGTGCTACTCACCCTGTCAAGTTGTTTGTGTGTTTAAGGTGTGTATTGTACCTGTCAGGATCGATAAACTTTTCTCACTCCCTCCTTCCCTCCCTCCTCCCGACCTCCCCCCCTCGCCCCCCCCAGGTGCTCTGGCCGGAGTGCAAGTGGGAGCCTGTGGCGCTCACAGACATCATCAGGTAGACGGCTTGACGTGTGTGTGGGGGGGAGAGGAGTTGACTGGCATGTGCCATGGGGTATGGCAATGCTGGTTGAGGCATGGCAGCAAGGGGTGCGTGCAAGTGGGAGCCTGTGGCGCTCACAGACATCATCAGGTAGACGGCTTGGATTGTGTGGTGTGGTGTGCCATGGGGTGCGGTGGTGTGCCATGGGGTGCACGTTGGGGTTGGTGCTGGTGGTGTTGCTCTGCTGCTTATGCCTGCCTGCTGCACCCCCCCTCGCCCTCACACCCCCCCCCCCGCCCCCACACCCCCCCCCCCTCACCCTCCCACCCTCAATCCCCCCTGCAGTGCAGCAGCAGTGACGAAGGCGCATAGCAAGGCAGCGCTGTGTGTGCATCACATGTGCACACGTACCCGCCCTCCCTCCCTTCCTTCCCCCCCTGCAGTGTGGCAGCAGTGAACAAGTCATATCGCAGGTGACTTGTGAGTCGACTCAAAAGTCACCTCTTTATTGCAAGGCAGCGCTGTGCCTGCTTCCTGTATGCCCACCTGCCCTCTCGCCTGCCCCTGTGTGCCCAGGCCCTCCCTCCCGCCCTCCCTCTCTCCCTCCCTTCCTTCCCCCCTGCAGTGCGGCAGCGGTGAAGAAATCGTACCGCAAGGCAGCGCTGTGTGTGCATCCCACGTGCCCACCCTCCCATCCACCCACCCTCCCTTCCCCTCCCCCCGTCCCTCCCTTCCCCCCTGCAGTGCGGCAGCAGTGAAGAAGTCGTACCGCAAGGCAGCGCTGTGTGTGCATCCGGACAAGGTGCAGCAGAAGGGCGCCACAGTGCAGCAAAAGTACATTGCTGAGGAGGTGTTCGACCTGCTCAAGGTGCGTGCTGCGTGCCAGGCCATGTTATGCCATGCCATGTGCTGTTTACCCTCGTCGTACTTCCAAATCATATTTTGATACTACATATATTTTGTTAATTGATTTGGGATTCATCTCATTACATGGGGCTCTGTGCTGTGCTACACCATGACTTGGTGTTTGTTTGTTCTACAGGAGGCGTTCAACAAGTTCAATTCCGAGGAGCTGTTTTAAGGTTTAACACAGTGCTATGGGTTGCAACTCGTATCTGAAACTAGATATTATTGAAGTTTAGCTTGCAGTTAATAGATTCCTTTACCGTACATTCTTTTGGCTATTCTGAAACATGATCTCTAGACTTAGGGTACATTCCGCGCTGGACATGTCCCAATCGAAAGTGTCCCAATCGTTTCTACCGCACTGCATCGTATTACACCAAATTGCACCCTCGTTTCGAAATTTTCGCGTCTCTGGTTTAGTTCGGTTCGGAGCGGTACACTCGATTGGGACACATCGATTGGGACAGTGACCACAGCGGAATGTACCCTTAGTTGCCTGTAAATTGCACACTAGGTCTTCGCCTAGGAATTGGGTCTTCTATCTAAACCAAAGCACTTTGATGCTGTTCGACTCTGTTATTTAGCAATTTACTATGGTTGAAGTGCAAGCTCACTTATAATCCGCCTCCTTGCACCCCGAACCGAAACGCGTACACGAGACTGCTCACCTGCAATCTCGGAACTGTTCGGAATTGAATAGACACGCCATTTTGTGCATCCAGTTACTAAGGGGACGTAATAATGTCTTACAATATGTCTCATTCTGCGCCAGAACTCCGCAAACTGTGAATTGAGGAGAGATACTCCTGGCTTGACCGCTGTTATGTAGACGCCCTCAACCACCGAGAACAGCTAGGATAAGCGGATTTCCGGTCACATGCATGCTCTACTGATGAGGGAATGACGAAGCGCCGTGCTTTCTCGTCTTCAATTCCAACGGGCAGTGGTTTTTACAGGCCTCCTACCACGCGATCGCGCCCGATTCCCGTGGTTACTTTTCACCATCAACACCGAATTCTGTACACTTTCTTGGTTTTCGCGGGCAGGTCCAAACATCTTGTGAATATTGCACACACTCATTACGACTTTGTCTTTATTGGTGCGCTGTAAAACACAGCTGTTCATGTTTCCACGAGTCTTCTGCAGTTTCATTCAACACCCATCAATGTCAGGGTTCCAGTCAATAAGTGCGTGACACCTTGGACTAAACTTGGCTGGTTAAGCACCGTTGCATGCACGCGCGCAACGGTCTGTCATTTCATCGTCCTTGCTTCACGTCGACTTCTCCCCCGTCAACGTCTCGTGAGCACGCAGTCGCCATTTCCTCCGTGGGTCTCTCGTGGACAAAGGGTTTTTACATCATTGAGTAGCGACTCATTTGTTCTCTCATTTTCACCTCTACTTGTCAATTAGCATAGCATCCTCCTCTCCGCCTTTTCCAAACCAGCCGCAGTTCATAAAGTTCACGTAGTGCTTGTTAGGTTAGCTCACGATGACGCCTCCTAGGCATTCTACACGCCTCAAGACCCAAAAAGCCGTAGGTAATCAAACCGCCGTTACGCGAGGGAAACGATCAACCAGGGGCAAGCAGGATGCGAGCGATATTGTGCCGGCTCCGAGCCCAGAATCGAAGGTCCCGGCTATATTAGAAGGCGTAGATGTGCTGCCGGAGCCCGACGACATAATATCAAGGTTCGCGAAGGGTGTCAAAGTTCTTGACAGCGTGAACGATAAGCTTCCTAGGTGTGTTAAGAGTAACCATTTCCCAACTCATGAGTTAAAAAATCATCACGGCCAGAGAGCGAAGGTGACAATCATGGATGCCCTCCACATACAGGATGGTTACGAGCTATCGACCTCAAGTATCGACTTTCACAACGTGTAAGTCCTGATACGCGGTTTACTAGTATTACTTACTCATCGCCTTCATTTTAATGGTCATTCGTGTTCGTATCATTTCAGGGTGTTGAGCCTTCTTTACAAGGAGCTTCCAGACGGAAAAACGTGGTTGGCGCTTGACACGCTCGCCTTCCAAACCGTCACCGGGGGACAGGAGCTTGCATGCGGAGTCGACTGCAAAAATCTGTTCGAGCACGACTACGTCTGCATCGTGGTTTTCAACAAGTGAGGGAGACATTAATTTGGTTTAGGGTGGTTCACAGAGCTCTCGTTTAAGGTTCATCCATGTTTCCGACGGTTGTCTTCATGTCCCGACTTCCGCTCCATTGTTTCTCTGCAGGGAACCAGTACATCATTTCAGCCTTGTGGTTGTTAGGGACCCCCGTCTGCTGCTCCTAAGTAACGAGGAATACCAAGCCACGGCGCCGGAAGAAATAGTTCTAGCAGTCCTTTACGACTTCGCACGCGTCCATTACGACCAGCGCGAAGCCGTGTTCACAAACACCAACACGTGAGTTTAGGCTGCGGCAGCATTTTTATGGGCCTTACTATCATCTTTCGTGCTCACGTGTAGACCTTGTGTTGAAAAAACCACTGTTACTGATCCATCCGCAGGCTTCTTGGGCGGGCCCTTAAAAAGGCCTGCCCTGATCTGCCATGGGAAGAAGTGACAGAGTGGCTCACACGCGTGCACAGCCGAGGCCTTCAAGTGAGTTTGTCAAATTTGTGTTTGATGTCACGCTGTCTGTAAGAAGCACAACACGATTTACCTGCTTCAAAGTGACTATGTTTATCTTTTTTTTTTTATCTTGTGTTTAGCAGTACTTCGAAGTACCCCAGCAACAGAACGACGTAGACTGCGGGGTCTACGTCTGCATGTTCATCAAGGAGCTTGTATTCCGCTGCTTCCAATTCATGGAAGAAGGGATTCCGAAACTCCGTTATAGGGGCGCGCACTACAGGCGCGAAATCCGTGCTCTGATGTGCGAGGCCGGCGAAGGTACTCTGCTGGAATCGCTGAAACTGAAGGGGGCTGATATTCCACCACAGAGTGAGCAGCAGCAAGAGGAAGAAGGTGAGAGCGACGACGTAGTTGAGGTCGATCTTGAGACCAAGGTTAAAGATCTATCGGCAGAGCAGGCTGTCCAAGCTGCCCAGATCAACAGCCTTTCGGAAGACATGGATAATCCGAAAGCCTTGGTTTTTAAGGGTGGGGAGGGAATCGTCAAACTGACGGTGTCTGTGTCATCACTGTTTACCGCCTTTCAGCAGCTGGCTGCACATGCAGGGTTCAAGCTGCCGATGGCTGCCCTGGAGGGTTTGAACAGGCCTGAAGCCGGCGACTCCTCCACTGCTGTAGTAGCTCCTGCTACAACAAGAGGTGCTCTTCACACCTCTGCTGTTGCTCCGTCACTTGCGCGTAGACCACTTTTCGGCCAGATTCCAGGGTTCGTGCAAGCCCAGGGAGCCACATCCGGTGCACAGAGGTCTAGGGCGGGTGACACAGGTCCCGCAGCCGGCGCTTCATCCTCCGCGGCTGATCAGGCGGGTGCTGCAGCATGTGTTACTACAGCAGCAACGGGTCAGCCAGGTGCCTCTGTCCGTGCTCCTCATGCTGGAGCGGGTCAGCCAGGTGCCTATGCTGGTGCTCCACCAGCTGGAGCGGTTCAGCCAGGCTCCTCTGCCGGTGCTCTTCCAGCTGTAGCGTGTCTGCCAGGTGCAGCAGCCGGTGTTTCACCAGCAGCCGCGGGTCAGCCAGGTGCAGTGGCCGTTATTCCAACAGCAGCAGCGGGTCACCCTGTCAGAATGTTATATTTGTCTAGCCTGCAGTGGGGTACTCAATAGTGAGTGCAGCCCAATTTAGGGTTTGCTATATGTACTCAACTGCCTGCTAGTGAAACCCCTCTTCTCTGTTTCATTTCATTCGTTCACTATTCTAACATGCTATCAGAGCAGGTCGACCCTCCCGGGTCGATCCTGTGGATGGGCCCACCGTTAGCTTCTGCTGCTGTCCTACCTATCGCGCGCCTCGGGCGCACGCCGTTTTTCTGCCTGCCGTGCGCTCATGGCGCGCGGCACTTTTTCTTCCCACTGCGCGCCCGGGGCGCGCGGCGGTTTTCTGCCCGTTGCGCCGCCCTGGTGGTCGCGCGACGCCCTGCCCTGCCCGTCGTGCGCCCCGTGGCGCGCGACGGTGCCCTGCACGTCGCGCGCCCCGAGGCGTGCGGCGGTTTCGTCGCCTGTCGCAGCGCCCTGGGGGGGTCGCGCGTCGCCCCCCTCCCGTCGCCCGTCGTGGCGCCCTCGGGGGCCCGCGAGCGCCCCCCCCCCCCTTCCATCGCCCGTCGTGGCGCCCACAGGGGCCCGCGCGTAGTTCCCCCCCCCTCCCCCCTCCCCCCTCCCCCCTCCCGTCGCCCGTTGTGGCGCCCTCGGGGGCCCGCGCCCCCCCCCCCCCCCCCCCTTCCTGCAGCCCGCGAGCCGCCCCTCGCCGCCTCCTGTCCTCGTGCACCTGTGGGGTGGCGGGTATGGGGGTGGCGGGTGTGTGTACCGTCCCCTCCTCCTCCTCCTCCGTCTCCCACTGCTGCAGCTGCCGCTGAGGGGGGTGGGTGTGTGGGAGCCGAAGGAGTGGTGCTAGGGGGGTGTTGTGGGAGTGAAGCTAGGGGTGCAGCAGGGGGTGTGTGAAAGGGGGGTGGGAAATTTTGGGGAGGTTGAAGGGAGGTAGCCGTCGTGTCGCCAGCAGCGCCAGTAGTCCGGAGGCTACAATCTCCGGTAGCCCAGCGAGCCTGCTGCGCCAGTCGCCCGTGGGTCCGTTGCTCCTGCCGCTCAGAGTTAGCCGCGGAGCCAGTTACTCCAGTAGTCCGGAGGCTACAATCTCCGATAGCCACAGTGCGCGCCGCACCTGTTGCCCGTGTATCTGCGGCTTCACCTGTCGTCTCCTATCTCCACTCCTCTCACAATCCCTCCTCCTCCTCACTTACCATCTGTGACTGCCTCTAGCTTTGCTTATATTTGTGAACTATTGCTCTGCTTGCTTATTGTGCTGATTACACCCCACTTTGGCTATGGGGGTGTGTCAGAATGTTATATTTGTCTAGCCTGCAGTGGGGTACTCAATAGTGAGTACAGCCCAATTTAGGGTTTGCTATAAGTACTCAATTGCCTGCTAGTGAAATCCCTCTTCTCTGTTTCATTTCATTCGTTCACTATTCTAACACACCCAAGTGCAGAAGCCGGTGTTTCAACAGCAGCAGCGGGTCAGCCAGTTGTAGCACCCGTTATTCC